TATAATATAATTAAACTTTTACATATTTTAATTCATTATTTTAAGTAATTATTCCAAGCATATTTTATTTTTTTATAAATGCATTTATTTTGAATGGTAAAATATATTTGGTTAAATACCCTTTTTGGTCCCTCTACTATAAGAATAAGTCCTTTTTTGGTCCCTGTACCCAAAAAAGCCCCTTTTTGATCCTTACTGTTCACAAATCCGACCCCTTTTTAGTCCTTCCGTTAAATTTTGGCTGATGTGGCAGGTTAATTAACGGAAACACTCATTCCTTTTTTTTTACTAAATTACATGGAAATTCCACGTGGCAAAAATTGATGACATGTTAAATTTTTACCTTTAATTACTGATATACCCTCATTTTCTTCCCCAGCTTCTCCTTCCTGCAGCCTTTTTTTTTTTCTTTTTTTTCTTTTACCTCCAGGCAAACCCAGGTCTTGGGTTCGCGACGTCCGTGCAATAGCCTTTCACCTAATTGCAGAATCGAGGGGCTAAGTGCTGAAATTGCCCTCGATTCTCATTCAGGTGAAGGAACGGGAAGATTCAGATGGTGCTGAGTGGAACGATTCTGAGTCACCGTAAAAAACGGGGAATATTATCAATGCGTCATGTACCAACGTTGTATGACAGCAGATCCCTCACATTATTATACTCCACAAGAATATCATCATCCTTCCAAAACAGCAATGGTTTTCTAGCAATTGGAAACAACCTTACCGTTGTTAATTGAGTCCAAACTCCATTAACTTCCGATTCATTCCTCACCCATACCTTCAACAATTTCTCTTGAAAAGCTAACAAGGGACACTGCACAAGGGAAAGGGATCCTTTCAGAATGTGCAGACCACTGTCGTAAGAATCACTAGAGTGGAAATCGTCCGGCATTGATATCTTCTGGAAGACCTCATCGCTCATATCAAATGAAACAATAATCTCAGAATCATTCCCCTCCTCGTCCGTGTCAGGCTCATCCTCACTGTAATATTCTTCCCGCGCTAAGTACCAGAGGAGAAAAATTTTTTTTTTGATGGTTTGGGGTACTGTTGACGACCACTTAAAAGGGATTAATTGTGAAAATATAAAAAGAAAGGGGAGTCGCCACTCGTCCAAATTATAAGGTGGGACAAGTCACCTAAAACGGGTCTACGCAGAGATCGGGGTTTGGAGGTTCGGTTAAGAGTGAGGAAGGGCATACGCGCACATCACAATCCTCCGTTTAAACACGGTTGCATACTTTAAAATCAGGGTTTTGATTCAACTTATTTATTATCTTTATGTTTGAGTCTTAATAGGCAAGCCTGAAAAAGGGATGGACCAAATCGTGCCATTTTTAAATTTTTGGGCTAAAAATGGACAAAATCAAAGACATGTATGCACAATAAGCACAAATAAGAATTAAATGGACTGATTTGATTAAAATAAATATAAAGGACTGATTTGAAAAGGTTTAAAACCTTTAGACTAAACTGCTTAAACGTGAAAGTTGAAATAAAATAAATAACTTTTGATTTTTTTTTTACTTTTTAACCTTTTTAGTTTTTTTTTTAGTTTTTTTTTTTTTTTATGACAGACGAAACTAGATCGGGTTGGGTTAACTTCACCCAAAAACACGAAACAATTCATCAACATAAAAACAGATAAAA